TATCAATAAAGGGTTTTAAGCCACCAAGCCTTTACTAATCCCTGTCACCAATGTTTAGAGGTTCCTTCCTTAACTCTTACAAGTGGTGGCAGGTGGTGGTAGTTGCGTCCTTTTGGCATGCAACCGAACAAGCTTCTCCGAAGAAAACCGCTCGGCTTCGACAAACGCAAGATGACATTTCTTCAAGAAACCCGTGAGTACACATTTTGGGCTCTTCTCTTTTCATTTCCTTCAATTTTTTCCTAAATGTGTTAGGCCGTGCACAGCCAGCTCACGTTAGTTTTTTGTTGGGTTAAAGTGCTATTCCGAAATGGCATACTCTCATTCTCATCTCATTTTCTTGACCTCACACCTCATTACTGTGTGATAAAGTATGAAGCCAAACATTATGAAATCGTACATTTATTAAGTGTCTATTAAATTTTTTTTCGTGATTAAAATATTTTGTTTCAATTGTATCGCATTTAGCGCGTTCGTGAATTTGTTCTTTCACGAATATTCACTCATTAAATTCTTCTCTCTCCATTTTCTGTCTTGACCTGACCTCAGCTGAAAGTCATTAATCAGAGCCCACTCAGGGACAGCTGTAAGGTTGCAATTATGCGTAATGACTCACGTTTGAGAGTAGGTTAAGGTAACTGAAGTAAATCATACGTTCGGCAAACTTTGAGCCAGGGTGACCACAATTATGTCCATTAATTTAGGACTAGGATTTAAGTCTGATTTAGGATCCACTTAATTAATCACAACCCGCTCACACTTTTACATGTCGCCGTCGTGTTGGGTAAATCCCATCGGTTTGTGGTTCATGATAAATCCCCGTAGGGCATTTCATGAGCGCCCATCATAGATCCGCAGATAGAGTGGGTAATTTATAGATTTTCCCAGCTCGTTTAAGTTTCATAAAATACGGCAATTTTTGGGGACACCCCCTCCCCCCATCAAATGAAGTCTGTATGACCAGTAAGACATACTGCTTCCTCGGGAAAATTCCCGAGAAGATTTGCTTGCGAAAAAGCTTGCGAATAATTTTCCCGTCACCATTCATTAATGCATCATTTTGTTGCATGTCATGTTAACCCATTCGCGCCGGGTAAAAATAAACAAAAAATGGGGGAAATGCTGTGCTCATTTTTTATATTTTTTAATGAATGGAATGGAAAGGATGCCGCAAACCCAGTCAAGCTCCAGGAGCTCATTAGTGCAGGTATCAGCCGCCCTACAATGTTGAAGAGGACGCTTCCTGCCGGACGCCCGTAGATCCTGACGAAGATTACGAGGACGTCTGTACGAGCGTGCAGCCGAGAAGGACCTGGACGGAGATCTGCGGGACATGCATTGGGCGAATAAGCCGCCGAGTTTGACCTGTACGCGGACTACGAGGATGTCTGGGCAAGGACCTGTGCGAGACCAGTCGAGGACGTGAGGGTATCGAGAACGAATAGATTCCCAGGGACCAGAGCGAGGATGACGACACAGAACGAGCAGCCACAGAGATGCACCAAGGATATCGCACCCGAGATCGAGGACGAGCAAGTTAGGACCAGCCAGGTTGGGTCACCCTTGAGGAAAGTCTAGATCGCCTCGAGGACGAGCTGTGGGTAGGTGGCAGAGCGGTGTGACATTCATAGGAGCACCTGTCGCTGACCTGACCCTCAGCTGCAGAGAGAGGTCAGCTTGGAGGCCTGGCTGCCACGCCCTCATGAAGGTCAGAGTGTCAGTCAGAGTGTACCTTGGGTCGGTGGAGGTTACACCTGCCCGCTAGGCTGGGCTTGCCGGTGACCTCAGGTGACCAGCCCATAACCCAAGACTCGTCATTTTTGTGTTATCAATCCGTGTGCTGAACTCTTATCAATAAAGAGTTTTAAGCCACCAAGCTTTTACTACTCCCTGTCACCAATGTTTAGAGGTTCCTTCCTTAACTCTTACAGAGTGTGTGTGTGTGTGTGTGTGTGTGTGTGTGTGTGTGTGTGTGTGTGTGTGTGTGTGTGTGTGTGCACATATGTACATATGTGCTTGAGTATATACTTATGTATGTATGTAAACATACATATACATATGTGTATATATGTACATATATGTATATATAGATACATATACATATAGGTATACATATTAACACACACACACAGACATATGTGTATGTGTGTGTGCTTGCAAGATATGCAAGGTGTCAACAAAACACCTGGTAGGTAGCAACACCACCTCCTTCCCCCTCCTATTTACAACTTCCCTTTGCTCAATATTTTTTAAGAAGGATGTTTGTTTTAATAGAAATAAATGCTAAAACATTTTCATATATGTATATTTTTGTATCTAATGATATTATTTAGCAGATTTGAACCAGAGAATGTGATTATGAGTTAGGAGTGGCAAATCACCACAGGGTTGTGTGGGTGAATGCATGCAAGTGGTATTGGAGAGGTGATGAATGTCGGCTCTGGCTGATTTGCTGGCAGCAGTTAGGGTATGGTGTTTCCTGAAATGGATCCTTTCTATC